TGCAAAGTAAACGCTTAACAAACAGATATTACGTTGAAGTTGAATTGAAATGTGTGGTACATGGTGAGCCCTCCAGAAGTCATATTCCAAAACGAATGGCAGAACTCCCATTATTCTTTATGTTTGAAGATGGTGGTTACTATCTACTAGACCTATTTCAACTATTGGTAGAGGTAAAAAAAAAAAGGTAGGTAGAAAAAGTAGACGTAAAAAAGGAGAAACTATATTGTTCATTATTGAATGATTTATATACTCTTCAGTTTTCTGGGTATAATAAACCAGTGGTGGTCTAGTAACCGATTGGTCAAACAACTTCCAAAATGAGCCAAAGCATATAAATAGAGGCGTAATCCTAGGCTTGTCTTAGGTATATTCTTTATAAGATTTACTTCTGGTGCTAGCTCAAAAACCTCTCCCACTTAATCGGACCAAGCGGTCAGATGGACAAAATTAAGCAGGGAAATGACAATGTTTTACGAATTAGGAAGGAAGGAGTTTTCCACATTCTCATCTTCCAAATAGGATGAAAATACCCCAACTTGGAGAATATGAACTAGTTAGCTTAAAGTAGAACTCAAATCGTGATATTAAAAAGGCTTAGCATCAGGAGAGGCAATGCAGTGTATCTCCAGAAGTTGTGGTATAATAGAAATGGAAGGGAATTTAGAGTTTGGGAACCTGAGTTCTAATCCTGCCTTTGCAAGAGTGCCCTGGTATGGGGCAGCTAGGTGGCGCAGTGGGTAGAGCTATGGTCTTGGAGTCAGGAGGACCTGGGTTCCAATCTGGTTTCACACATGACACTTCCCAGCTGTGTGACCCTGGGCAAGTCACTTAACCCCAATTGCCTCACAAAAAGAAAAAAATAAGAGTGCCCTGGGTGACTTGCCCTGTGTCACTTTGAGCAGGTCACTTTATCACTCTGGACCTCACTTTCCTTATATGTAAAATGAAGGTTAAACAAGGTGACTCCAAAGGTGCCTTGCAGCTCTAAATATAGGGAGGGTCCTATGATAGGCAAGTAGGTAGCAAAGAAAGCAGAGGCCTAGATTTGGAGTCGAGAAGATCTGAGTTCAAATCCTGCTTTATTCATTAGCTAGGAAGGAAGTAGGAAGTCATTTAATTTCTCTCAGACTATTCTGTCCTCATAAGCCAGGTATAAAAATAGCACCTATCTTATAAAGTTGTTTGAAACTTAGAGCATTGTTGTTATTATTATTATTATTACCTTATGACAGCCTCATCTGCAAAATGACTATATGATTATTAAGGTCACTCCCAATTTTAAATCCTGTCCTCCTATGTTGTGGCACCAGGAAATAGGCTGAATGTTGGTAAATGTGGGGTTGAAAAGTTGGAGGTCGGCCAGGATACTGTGAGCATAGATTCATGGAAGGAGAGAGATCGGCCCCAGTGAGAGGATGTTTCAGATGAGTGTTCACCTTTGAGATTAAGTGTGACCTGATGACTCTAAGACCCAAGAGTGGCAGAAGGCGAGAATGGAAGACTACAGAGCAGTGTCCTGGAATTCCTTTCCTTGCAAGGACGTTAGAGTAGCAGCCAATTGATGCGCCCGCCAACCAGCATGTATTAAGCACTCACCATATCCCACTATGGCAAAGTAGATAGAGCACTAGTCCTGGAGTCAGGAAGACTCATCTTTATGAGTTCAAATCTGGCCTCAGACATTGACTGACCGGGCAAGTCCCTTATTCCTGTTTGCCTCAGTTTCCTCATCTGTAAAATGAGCTGAAGAAGGAAATGACAAATCACTCTAGTATCTTTGCTAAGAAAACCACAAATGGGGTCATGAAGTCACACGATTGAAAAATGACTGGACAACAATATTCCAGGCACTATGCTAAGTGCTTGAAATGAAAGAAAAGACACACACACACACACACACACACACACACACACACAGTCAAGTGGCCTAGTCGCTTGTGCACATCCCTCCCCCAACAAGCAGAGAGGAAAGACTGAAAGATTAGATTTCATCATGTACTGATAATCCGAATGGAAAGGAGATTCTGTCTACCCATTTCAGAAAGCAGGGGATTAAGTGCGATGACCTAACCCAAACAGGGATAGGGAGTGGTCCTATGATTTTATCACTATAAAGAAGTCACTCTACCAATGAGGTTGGGAGCTTCACTGCATCTACTTAGAGAATAGCCTGGGGAACTGAGAGGTGAAATGACTCACTCTGGATCATAAAGCTAGTATGAATCAGTTGTGGACTTGAACCCAGGTCTTCCTAGCTGTGAGGTACACTTTCTATCCTTAGATAGAGGTGGGTGGCTCAATGGATAGAGGGCTAGACCTAGAGTAGGGAAGACCAGATTTCATAGCCAGCCTAAGACACTTGTTAGGTGTGTGACCCTGGGCAAGTCACTTAGCCTCTATAAGCCTCAGTTTCTTCATCTGTAAAATGTGAATACTAATATTTACCTCATACGATTATTATTAGGACGTGGTAAGATAATATACAGCAAGATCTTAGCAAATTGTAAAGTATAATATAAATGCTATCTATCATTGTCGTTATTTGGTATGCTGACTCTGACCTAATAGTTACAATAGAGCAGGAGTGGGGAACCTGTGGCCTAGAGGCCACATGTAGCCTTCTAGGTCTTGGGTGTGGCCTTTTGACTGAGTTCAGTTTTACAGAACAAATCCTTTTATTAAGGGGATTTGTTCTGTGAAGTTTGTATTCAGTCAAAGGGCTGCACTTGAGGACCTAGAGGGCCACATGTAGCCTTGAGACAGCAGGTTCCCCATCCCTACAATAGAGGCATAGCATTATCCCCCACCCATTCTCCCCCATTCCCCTCCACACACTGTCATTTCTTATGGGTTGATGAGTATTGTGCAGAGCCTGGGGGAGCAAACTGGGGGAGTTCCAAGTGCTGGCAGCTAAAGTCTTATATAACAAGGTCACTTTGTACAAACAATACCTAATACCAACTGCTCTGGAATAGCCAGTAATTCCATCCATATGTATATATAGAAAAACCTAGCTTTTTTTCACTCTAGGGCAGTGCTAACCAGGCTTCAGGACTCATCCCCAAACATTTTATCCAATTTGTTGTGAATATGACACAGTTTTGAAGGGTTTAGGGACCCCTCAAGGACCAAGGACAGGGTCATCTGGAAAGAATCCACAGACTCAAACATTTAAGTCAAGCTGGCAAAGGTTTATTGTTATGCTATTCAGTGGGCAAAAGTTCTTAAGGAACCTGCGACCTTAGAGGGCTACAGTTAAAGTTTATATAGGAAAAACGGTAGTGAAATATGTGCCAAGCATGCTAATTAGGTGATTCAAGGTGGGATTAGGGAGTGATTAAGGAGTGGTCAGTTCTTAAAAGAATATGCACTTTTTATATCTACTGCTCAGGTGTTTTACTCAGAGCGCACCAGGAAAAGCCCAGGAGGGGCAGGCATAGAGGGGTGTGGTTTTCAGGTCTGCCACGTCACTAAGTTAACTAGAGGTCAGGGCCACCTGAAGGTTGTCCAGTCTGCTACCAGTCAATATCTTGTTTGACAAGACAGGATAGGGAGTAAATCTAGGATAAATATAATAAGGAGTCTAGGATGCATATAATGAGCTAAGGAGTTGGTATAGGTAGTCTGGTCAGTACCAAATATCTTTATGAGCCAGTACAAAGCCATTTCAAACTAATAATTCCTACAGGTGTGGTTTTTCACTATACCAGGGAGAGAGAGAAGTGTTTTGCTGGGACCCACTCACAAGTATTTGCTAGGAATAGCATCCTTGGGCTGGGGAGAGACTGCCAGAGAAAGTGTTTTTGAGGCTAGTGGAAAATATGGTTTTGGAAGTGGGGTCCAAGCACAAGCACCCAAGCGCCCCATCAAATAGTCTTTGTGATCTAGAATCTGGGAGGAGCTGCACTTAATCAGTGGTGCCATCAATGGAACACTTGCTCTGGAGATAGAACAGAGGTCTGAGTATTGCAATAGCCTGCTGGTGGTCTCCCTGCTTCAAGTCTCTTCCCACTCCAATACAACCTCCATTCAGCCACTAAAATGAGTTTCACTTACAGATCAATGATGCCTAGTTACCTGTATGCTACCATGGCCACTCTGGGCAGTAGGCCTATAGCAAACTTATAAGAGCGAAGGAATGACAGTCATACCTCATGGGTAGGCATGGATGAGTTGCAACCTTCATCACCGGATTTTTCTTGGATTCTATGATCTCATGATCCCAAATAAACTTCATTGAGATCACAGATCTATTGAAGTCCGAGCAAATGCATACAAGCCTTTGTTCCAGGCACTAGCAATAAAAAGATTTTCAAAAATGATGCAATAATTTAATAGAGGTAGTAGTACAGACTGCTCTTTCAGGAAATTTTTCAGTCTAAGAGAATTAGAATAATAAATTCAAAAAGTAGTAGAAGCCAAATTAGGTAGGTTTTATTTTTTTTTTAGGAGAAGGGAAACTGATTGTGCCAGGAGAGTTGAGAGGTGCTAGTGAGAAAGATATGATTGCTGGAGCAAGATATAGGAAAGTGCTGCTATTCTGAAGCTATTTACATCTCCTGAATGCATTCTCATGAGGCCATGAGAAGTCTCTGAACAGCAAGAGTAAACATGAATCCACTAACATATCCTGCAGACTAGTCTTCATTATAATGTCTAGTGTGGGCAATCTAGCCTAGCTCCAGTTGGTCTGACTTCTTCCTCCCTCCCACCAATACATATAGACTGAAGACCCAAGGCAAGAGGGCTTCCTCTTTGTGGTCCCACACACTCATCAAATCATCCGAGAACCTACTCAAGTGTCCAGGATCCCAGGAGTACGTTTTCCCTCAAAATACCAAGAAATCACACAAACAGAAAGGCAAGTTAGAGCCCTCAGATATGTGTTAAGAATTGTCAGTCCTGCTTTGGGCATCTAAAACACAGAAAGAAGCAGGATTTGTTTCTAATCATCAGAGGATATTGAAATCTTCACTAAGTCTTAATTTTTTTGAAAGGTCACTAATTCGCAGAAGAGGGATGAGAAATGAACTACCAGTGCCTTTGGAAGACAGTGTCACCGATTCCACAGGCTGCTTACATCCCCTTAGTTCAGGTAAGGGTAGAGCTTCCACTTGCCTGGTTACAGCATAATTCATCTTCATTCAATTAAGCAAGCAAGTAATAAGTATTTATTAAACACCTAGTATTTGCCAGGCAGTGTGCTAGGTGCTGGGAATACAAAGAATGACCCCTTCTCTCAATTAAGCCATTCTTTTACCCAGGGGAATGGAGTCAATAGCATGGGTTGAGGAATTAGCCTTGGCTAGGGGAGTCACTTCTTCCTTAGACAGCTAAAGAGATAACTCAGGACCTGGAGCCCAAGATCCTTGGGAAGAGCAGAGCCCCCCAAACTAATTAGTCCTACCTCTAGCCCAGACCCTACAACCATCATTTGGGAAGAACAATCATTATAGATAAGGAGTTTGACTTTCTCAACACCACCAAACCCACTGCTGATCAATTGTCTAACTGGCAGGTAAGCCCAAGAACCCTGTGTGTAGGTCTACCACCAGATCAGTTTCCAAGCAAGCTGCCACAGCCATTATCCAAAGAAGTAACACCATTGGAGGTACAGCTGGGAACTTGCTTCTTTAGATGCTATAGCCAGAGCTACTCAAGACCCAGAAAGGTCCTTGGTACCATTAAATGGTTCTGTATCAGAAACTGATATGATTTTATCAATGGAAATTATATTAACGAAAAGACATCACTATCAACTTTGCTACTGCACACTTAAGACCACGTGACCTTTCCATCCGACTTCCAGCTGAAATTTTCTGTACATGTTGTCTCCCCCATTAGAATACGAGCTGCTTGAGAAAAGAAATTGTCCTGTTTTTTCTATTTTAATCCCCAGTGCATTGCACATAGTGCGCGATTAATAATTGCTCTTTTATTCATTCACTCCTCAGAGATAAGACGAAAGAAGAAGAGAATGGGGAACAACATGGAAATTATGAAATGAGGAGAAGAGAGGAGGGCACTCCCTCTGGGTGGCCACAATCTTTTCAGTAAAGTATCAAAGCAATCAATCAACAATAATTTGTCAATCACTTGCTATGTGACAGGCACCATGCTAGGTGCCTTGGAATACAAAGAAAAGCAGAAACAGCCTTTGCTTATAATTCCATTCTAATGGTAGAGTCCAGCTGTATATAAAAAGATATATACACAGTAGACTTAAAATAATCTGACCTTAGCAGAGAAGGCTATAGCAGCTGAGAGGACCAGAAAAGACCTCCTACAGAAGTAGGTGTTAATATTCTCCCCTATTGGGGGGTGGGGGGTGAGGGAATAAACTGGAATTTAAGGAAAAGGTTTGGAATGAATACTGTGGAAGGTGCATTGGGGTTATTGGAACTCTTTGAAAACTTAACTCCAAAAGCTGATCTGAGGAAGACAGAGAAAAAGAGAGACAGACAGACAGACAGAGACAGAGAGAGACAGAAACAGAGAGACAGAGACAGAGATGAGACACAGACAGAGACAGGGAGAGACAGAGAGACAGAATTACAAAGCCATCGTTGATATTAAAATGTTGATTTTATTAAATCGATGCCTCTGAGTTCTCTCACAAGCTTTTTAACTAGAGTGAAAGACTTCTGTCTTAGTAGGGACCAAGACGTATTCATGCCATCTAGTGGATTCATAAGATAATTACAAGAGTGTACTTCTCCCATTAAATGTACACTGTCACTCTTCCTAAAAAATGGGATGCAAGATACTAATATGTGACTCCCCCCACTCTCCCATATAGCATACAGAGTCACTGCAAATGGAATGATGACTATAAACCCTAGAAGACAGATAACACCAGGACTACTCCTAGAGATTTTGTTTCATCCAGTATTTTTATATAGTTGAAATCTGGTTTCAAATGCGCACCAAGCTGAGTCTTTTAAAGAATGTCATTGTTGTTCAGTAGTTTTCAGGTGTGTCCAACTCTTCGTGACCCCATTTGGAGTTTTCTTGAAAGATACTGGATTGGTTTGCCACTTCCTTCTCCAGATCATTTTACAGATGAGGAAACTGAGGGAAACAGGGTTAAGTGACTTGTCCAGGTTCACCCAGCTAGTAAGTGTCTGAGGCCAGATTGGAACTCAGTTTCTCCTGACTCCAAGCCTAGTGCTGTCTCCACTGAGTCACTTACATCACAAAAGACTGACATGAAGACTAGAGAGTAGGAAAGGGGGAGTGGTGTGGAAATAGGGAAAGGAGCTACTAGTGTTAAGCAGCCAATACCAAGGCTTTTAACTTCTCCCCTAGGCTACTACAATAGCTTCCTATTTGGCCTCCCTACCTCGAGTCTCTGCTTTTTTTAATCCATCCTCTCCACACAGCTGCAAAAGTGATTTTCCTCAAGCACAGATCTACATACGTCTACATAAGTCACTCCATTATGCAATAGATTATAGTAGCTCCCTATAATCCTAATTATTTGGCATTATCATTATCCCTATTATTGAAAGCCTTTCATAACATGACTTCAACTTACCTTTCTAGCCCTATCATACAAGGTGTTTGTTCCAAAAGTCTTAGTGTAGTTTTCAGCTTTAATAGCATAAGGAAGCTTTACTAGCTTCAAATTGAACCAAGACTTTTGGGACACCCTGTATGTATCACTCCCTTGGGATGCTCTGAGTGAATCCAGTCAAATTCCTGCTTGTTGCTTCCCACGCCATCTTCTATCTCCATGCCTTCGCCTAGAATGCACTCCTTCCTCACCTCCACTGTTAGAATTCTTGGTTCCTTTAATACTTAGTTCAAGCATCACCTTCTACATGAGACCTGTCCCTATTCCCATCCCACCCCCAACTACTGTTCCTACCCCCTAAAGAAACTATCTTGTTTGTGTGAATGTGTATATGTGTGTATAGCTATATAACTCTCTCTCTCTCTCTCTTTCTCTCTCTCTCTCTCTCTCTCTCTCTCTCTCTCTCTCTCTATATATATATATATATAATATATATATATATATATACACACACACACATATATATATCTATTGCACATATTTATTTTGTATATTCTTACACATGTACATATTTCCTCAGACAGAATGTAAAGTCCTCAGGGGCAGGAATTGTTTCATTTTTGTCTTTATATCTCTAGGATTTAGCAGTGTTTAGCACTTAAGAAATACTTGATTAATTGATAACACTTATTAACAATTATTTCTCAACAAATAATCAATATCATATATCCTATATTTGTATGTATGTTAGCCTATTTCATCCCTCCTGGCAACTGTCCCATGTCCCTGTGTAGCTGCCAAGGGACCAGCTTGGCCTTTAGTCCACCTCTCCCCGAGGGACAGGTCTATCTAAATACCTCTATCCAGTCCCCTAGCTCCAAAAGACACTTAATGAATGTCTATTGGCAGGATGATGGCAGCTTTTAACTGTCATTTGTATTTTTTCTCAGTGGCATATGTGTATACAGCCCAAATGAAGAAGCAAGTTGCAGAGCCGATTTGCCCAAGTTATGGGCAATTTTTTTATGCTGGTTTTGATATCTAAAAATAATTCAAAAATTATTCTTTTTGGAGAATATGTGAAATCTGGTTAAAATAAAAATTAAGCAAAGCCTTAGACAGAGTGTGATTTCACAAAAAAGCAACATGCAAACTGAAGAGTGCTATAGTGAGATATGGGTTGGGTCTTCAAGTGGTCTGTTGTAGTTGCATTCTTCTTAACTGTAATTTTCTTTGATTGGCTATTTTGATATTGAACTTTAGCTGAGAGTGTACCAAGAAACCCTCGAAATGCAGGAAATCTACAGAAGAACTCCATGGAAACATGAGGATACAGAACTCTTTGTCCTACATGCAGGCGTATTTCTGTTTATTGTGCTTTGTGTTATTGAGCTTTGCAGATATTGTGCTTTTTACAAACTGAAGGTCTGTGGCAACCCTGCATCGAGCAAGTCTTTCAGCTCCATTTTTCCAACAGCATCTGCTCATAGAGTGTCTCTGTGTCACATTTTGGTAATTCTCACAATATTTCAAATTTTTTCATTGTTATCATATCTGTTATGGTGATCTGTGATCAGTGACCTTTGATGCTACTATTCTAATTGTTTTGGGGTACCTGAACTTTGCCCATATAAGACAGTGAACCTAACCAATAAATACTGTGTGTATCCTGACTCCTCCACCAATCTGCTATATTCCCATCTCTCCTCAGGCCTCTTATTCCCTGAAACACAGCAATATTGAAACTAGATCAGTTAATAACCCTACAATGGCCTCTAAGAATGAAAAGTCAATCCATGTAGCAAATTTCATTGTTATCTTCTTTGAAGAAATTGCCACAGCCATACCAGCCTTCAAAAAACAACACTCTGGTCAGTCTACAGCCATAAACATCAAGGCAAGACCCTCCACCAGCAAAAAGATTAGAACTCACCGAATATTACAATATTTGCCTTATTGCAGTGGTTTGGAACCAAACACACAATATCTCCAAGCTATGCCTGTGTACACACCTTCTCCCAGCTCCTTTCATCCTGCCCTCTCTTAACTCAATTAGTGTGCAGGTTCCTAGTAGCTAATACTGCTGGTGGTACTGGGGTTCTACCTCCCTCCCTCATGCCACCTATCTTCCCAACATAACCTACCATAGCTTCCCCTCCCAAAGGATGATATGCAAACCACTTCTGTCTTCCTGTTCTGCTCTGTTCTCTTCTGTTTTGTGATGTCTTTGGTAGTAACTACAGCTAGCTCTGCAAAGAATGACTTGAGACAGGGAATGGGAAGAGAATGTTAATGTACTGAATGGAAACTTCTCCTCACAGTGGCTAAAACTATATAACAGCAAATACCACTGTGAGGGTTCTCTCATGACACAGTGAATAGAGTGTCTGGCCTGGAGTCAAGAAGACTCACCTTCCTGAGTTCAAATCTGGCTTCAGACACTTACTAGCTGTGTGACCCTAGGCAAGTCACTTAACCCTGTTTGCCTCAGTTACCTTATCTATAAAATGAGCTAGAGAAGGAAAGGGCAAACCACTCCAGTATCTTTGCCAAGAAAACCTCAAATGGAGCCACGAAGAGTCAGATATGACTGAAAAATAACTCAACAACAACAACAATAATGACCATCAATAGAGGGGATCATCATTTGAACAACTCTTTCCATTCCTTTCCTGGATGCCTCTTCCAAAAGGCTGTCAGGGCTCAAGGCTTTCACATGGTATACAGTCTTCAGTTCTGATCCATTTGACAGTTGGAAGACTCACCAGTTCCTTGGTAGAATGAAACATTCACTATAATCATGTTACCCTTTATCTTGCTTTGAAAATAGTTATTTTCATTTGAAATTTGAACAGAAAAATTAGGCAATTCAAATAAAGCCATAATGAGTATAATCATAATGTTAGCATATTTCCTGAGGCCAACTGAAAAGGCTAATGAGGACAAATAAAATGAACATCCCCCACCAGAAGACTTTGCTACTGGCCTCTACGTGGAGTTTGCCATCTTGCCAGTTGCCTGCTGACTGTAGGAGAAAGACTATGGAAATCAGTTTCTATGAGACTTTAGTGGACATAAGTCCCTGTAAAAGCTAATTGAAGTTGTTTGTCCCAAGAAAGGAGCTCTAGTCTTTACATCTGGACTATCTTACTTATAAGCTACAGTTTATGATTTGGGTACATCCTTGGAACCCAAGAGGCCATTCGACTTGAAATGAATGATGATCTGACCCACTTTCCTTTCTTAATAGCATCACTGGGTAAGATCTGAGTGTAAGAAACAAGATCTCTATAGATAGTCCCAGGCCTGTTCATGCCCACTAATTGTATCTCAGAATCACTAATGCCTTAGGAGTAGTCTACCATGGCTTTGAAGTGAGTCTGTCCTCTGGGTTTGACCAGAGTCCTGATGGATTCTCAAGAATGTATTTTCCCATCTCTGAAATTAATTGAGATGTTTGCCTTGCATTAAGTACATTGAGAAGAACTAAAAATGTATTTTGACACAACTTCTGAAACCAAATTAAATC